GTGTCAATTTCCCGTTTGTAATACAAAATGACTGAAAAACGGCAAACTTCGCAAGGCTATATTATCCGCATTTTACAAGATTTTGCAACAAAACTTTGGAATATTACTAATTTTGTGATGCTCTTTCAAGCTGTGATGAAATTTTTGTCTAAGATCGAAATTTTAGTTATAAGGGGAAAGGTCCATTGACTGACAAAAAACAGCAATTAACTCCAAAATAAACTCCAAAATAAACTCCAAAAATTTCAAAATATTGCGGCAAGAATAATTGTCGGCACAAGTTACAAAATTAACTCTACCTGACGTTGTATGTATGTATGTATTTAATTTCTTTAGAGACGCTATCCTCATCAGCTATGCGGCTGGTTTTCATGAGGGGGTTGGGTCTGTGGGTTAATTAGTTTTTACTTCATTTTTTATACTTGTAAATAGGTAAATAGACGTATTTAGCTATTTACAAGTATAAAAAATGAAGTAAAAACTAATTAACCCACAGACCCAAAAAGAATATTACCCAGAACATAATGTGTATAGTTACAAATGGAATAACAATTAAAAACAAGATTCAAATAAGTCTTTTGAAACTATAAATCGAATGAGCAGACTTAGCCTCAGCAGAAAGAATATTCCACAGTACAGCTCCACTTTACCTAAAGCTTCTTTTAAGAAATTCTTTCTTAGGTTTTGGAAGTGAGAAATCTGTATCATAATTTCTGAGATGATAGTCATTATCATTATTGCTTCGTGCAGAAAAGAATTCTCGAAGACAGGGGGCAGTACCATTATTAAGAATGTTGTATACCAGACGTTCTTCGATCTCTTCAGTGCATGGGCAAAACTTTGGAACAGCCGTTCTCGGGATGCAAAATTAAGAGGCACAATTAAATTATTCCTTTAAAATAAATATCTAAATAAGCTACAATCAGGGACGCCGGAACTGGGGGGGCAGGGCAGCTGCCCCTGCCATGCTAGGGGGGGGGGGCAGAAGTGCCCTTTTAGTTGTAAAATTCTACGTGATAAATTACATTTCCAATGATGCTTTTTGTAGGAAAATCATGAGATTCAGGCAATTTATCGTTTATACTTGACTTTTGGTATGTCGGGAAAAAAATTTTGACCCCTAAAATGGTACACTGACCGAAACTTTTTTGGCGACGGGGGAGGGGGGGGGGGGATGACTTTCCATTGAAAACATTTTTCGGTAGATTTTGAAGTTTTGCTCCATATATATAGGTGCCCTTGGTGTACGTCCGCCCCCCTTTGCCTTATCATCGTTCCGGCGTTCCTGGCTACAATCCTAGACAAATAACACGCGGACGCCGATTAAAAATTGCCGTTAAGTTTAAGGCAATCAAATATTTATACGCATATCCAGCCGTATTCCCCGCTCCGCCGTTACAATGTTGTTGGTACAAATACCGCAATACATGCATGGACGCCGGATTCGAACGATAAAAAGGCAAGGGGGGCAAACGCACACAAAAGGGCACCTCTATAGACTCCGGTGAACTTATAAACGTAGAATTATGTGTTGACTAGCCCGATATATATGAAAGCAAACGCACTTAATCAGGTCACATTCAAGACCACACCTCATGATTTTGTCCAAAAAGCATAACTGGATATGTGATTTATCGGGTAGTATTTTATAACTCAATGGGCACTTGGCCCTCCTATAACAAAAGGTAAGAGGGGCAGCTGCCCCTCCTGCCACCCCCCAGTTGCGGCGTCCCTGCCGCAATAGTTGCCATGACGACTGAAGTGTTTATCAACATTGTTTCAGGAGAGGGGGAACCGACTTATGAGGTATACAGTCGAACCCCTAACCCCCAGTCGAACCTCCGCGACGCGAATTTTCAGTTTTCAATGACATTTAACTTTACTATTTTTCTATGTTTTTCAAATATTCAGAACCACTTACGTAACTTTAGCTATTTGGTCTGTATATCTTGTAAAATTTTGATGCGTTGATGGTTTTATTTGTTTTTGAAAACTGAAAATTCGCGTCGCGTTGCCGAATCGTGTCCGGTCTGTGTGGGCCTAAAGGCGGTTTTCCAGTCCTCGCACGAAGCTCCCCGCAACTCGCTGCGAGTGCTTGCATCTAATTAAAATTAACGGTTTAGCATTGGGATTGGATGAAAATGCTCATGCTGCGAGGACTGGAAACCGCCTTAAGTGTCCGCTTAAAAGGAAGTTTGTAGAAAAACACAGCAGAAGGCAAATTTAGTGAGTAATTTGAGTATCAAAACAGTAAAAATATCTAGCAAAAAATTAGCATAAAATTAAAATAATGGATCTCAATTGTTATGTACTGTCGAATATTGAATACATTTTATCAGACAATCTGTCATCTGTCCGCCTAAGGGAGGTTAATTTGCCCATTGGGACCTCAAGTAAGGTGTCCGCTTCCGTTAAAGAGGGGTGTCCGTTTAATGGGAGTAACGATAATAGTATTTTGTTAAAGAAAACGAATGGGACCTGAGATATGTGTCCGCTTAAAAGAGGTGTCCGCTTAAGAGAGGTGTCCGCTTATAGGGGTTCGACTGTATATAAAAATGTTGCAAAAAAATATTGTATGTGCAATGTTTGTCCAAGTAAATTTGTCTATGATTGTAGTATTATATAATTAATATTAATGCTCGATGAGACACACCTACGTTAAGTATATTTGTATATTTGAAAATATTTTTAATTGGTCTGTGACCCCCCCCCCCCCTTATATGAAAATCAACACCTGTTGATGACGCTATATTGTATTTAAGGTAATTCCGCAGTTTTGTATTGCGCACTTTTACTGCGCACATCTTATAACTTATAATTTCATCCATTATACGTACCGTTTAAAAATATCATTTTATGACAATTTTATATTACTTCAAAACATCTTTGGTTACATTCGTGCAAAGAATTACGTTAAAATCAATGTCTTCAAAAAAGGCATACAAAAGTGTAGCTAGGGTTCTGTGTCTGTAGTATATTTATTTACCAGGTTATTTACTTGTATTTCACGTTTTAATGCCACAATTCCCTAAAAAGATCGGTGACCCCCGTTTTTTAACTGATAGTTTATTTCTTTAATGCATTTTACATTTCATATCCGAAATTAAAAGAAAAATCATTTCTGGATCTTGAAACTGAAAATCCTTTATCAATGCATGTTCTCAAAGAAAGATACATGTAAAGAAATGTGGAAAAGACATTTGTGGGTCAGAATTGTAAACGTTAGTACTTTCATTTTGCTCAAAACACAATACTTTTTCAAAAATAATTACAAGATAGGTTTACTAAAGCGAAATCCGCGCTAAAACGTCAATAAATATCGGGCTGTTGTGATTTTGCTGTTACTTGTAATGAGCGTCAAGTGGCGCCATATTGGGGTAAAGGTGGTATATGTCATATCTTCTTAACAAGTTCGGTGACCCCAACTTTTTCAGTGTGATTTTACTTTTAAGTATATCATAAACTCCATGCTTGGGAAGTTTCAGCACATTTTCATTTCGGGAACAATTACTGCGGAATTACCTTAATTAAATAGATTTTACATACATATAGACTGACTTAACCAACCAACTTGAACCAACCAACCAACAAGACATCATAGAAAAGTCCAGTTTTTAACGTCCCGTATTGCTCTGCCCAATGGGTTTTATTTTAGGTAATAATGCTGACCATCAATCGAATAATATAATAAGGAAACATAACGTACATCAAGCAAGTGATACCTGTAATGTAGCCAAAAGAGGCCGTTACTTATCTATTGACCATGAAGAAATCGGTGTTCTGAGTATTTGCGAGGTCCGCGTGCTTAAGCTTCCTTTTGGTAAGTTTGATCGACATTTTAATAAAACCAATATAGTAACTGTGGAAATGCTTTTTGTTGGTTTTGCTCAGATCGATCAAAGAACTTGTCGACAGGTCCTCCGAGGGAGGGGGGAAGGGCACTTTTAGCCACAGGCCCTCGTGGCTAAAAGTATAGTGAAATCTGATATACTTTGAGCCACTGGCTAAAAGTATATCAGATTTGACCATACTTTTAGCCACGAGGGCCTGTACGTGTGGCTAAAAAGTATATCAGATTTCAGTACACTTTTTAGCCACGACGGTCTGTGGCTCAAAGCTAGTATATCAGATTTCACTATACTTTTAGCCACCAGGGCCTGTGGCTAAAAGCTAGTATATCAGATTTCACTATACTTTTAGCCACGAGGGCCTGTGGCTAAAAGTATACCAGATTTCACTATACTTTTAGCCACCAGGTCCTGTGGCTAAAAAGTATATCAGATTTCAGTATACTTTTTAGCCTGTGGCTAAAAACTATATTAGCGCTAGCTTTCATTATACTTTTAGCCACGAGGGCCTGTGGCTAAAAGTATATCAGATTTCACTATACTTTTAGCCACGAGGGCCTGTGACTAAAAGTATATCAGATTTCACTATACTTTTAGCCACGAGCATGGGCGTACCGTGCGGGGGACGCGGCATCCCCCCCCCCCTCCCCAGTTTGTTGGGCAAGCAAAGCCAGTCGGGCAATATTTGCTTATTATAAAAATGAATGGTACAAATTTTGTCAATTTTGTGGGAAGTATGCTATCTAATAGGAATTTTTCGTAATCACTCCTCTCCCCCCCGTCGACAACAATTTTGGAAAGTTTCTCGGGAAAATTTTTTTTTGACAATCCGGGCACATTCTACGCAGAGAAGTAGCTACAAGGTTTATCAACTGATCGACATTTCGCTTCATGTTTTTAGATCAAATTGGGTACGGAAAACCAGTGGAGGTTTCAAAGCGGGAAACGACAACTGACCCTAACTATGGTAGAAGAGATCAACTGTCGGACAACCAGCTCATCTTCGATACTTTCTCAGACAGCATGCCCAATCCTTGGATAAGGCTAGATTTAGAAGATTCATACTTTATACGTGAACTCGGTATTTTTTGCCATCCTACTGTTGCTCAACTGGTGGATTTGGCTATAAAAATAGGTACATTATTTATAATTCTTATAAATCTTCTCTTATTCTTCATTACATCCGGCGGGTGAGGTTATTTTCAGGGCCGCCGAGAGGGAGGGGCAGTGGGGGGCAAATTGCCCCGGGCCCCGAGTTGCTGGGGGCCCCTGCAAAATATTTGTTGGGCCCCAGCCTTTTTTGTGTGTTAAATATTTCCGCGCAAAGGACAAGATATCTGTTTTTTGGGGCATAAGTACCGAATTTTGGCATAAAAAAATGAGATAAAGTCCGTCGAAATCAATTGCAACCTACTCGTCCGGAAACATTTTGTACTCCGGAAAAATTTTTTGTACCCCTAAAATGGTACACTGACCGGAAACGGCGACGGGGGGGGGAGGTTGTTCTCCGGAAAAATTTTTTTCCGGGAAAAATTTTTAGATAGGGGCCCCTAAAGAAAAATTGGCCCCGGGCCCCCGCCAACCTCTCGGCGGCCCTGGTTATTTTTTCACTGGCGCATTTGCATTTCTTTGTCCAAATACATCAAAACAGATTATGCATCTCTAGTATAAATCATGTACGTCAGACTGTCTGTGTCACACACACGCACACACACATACCGCACACATCCACTAGCGCGATAAATTAAAAAATATGATGCGTATTACCACGAAATTTGTGGAAATAATTGACACTGGCTGCCCAGGGAAAATTAGGAAAAATTTGTCTTGCTTTGCCCGGCAGAGTTAACTGAATTCGGAATTTAGCCCATTGTGTAATTTATGCATGGTATATAGTGGGTCCTGAAGGGGGTGGGGGGGTCCCATTCCCATTTCCCGCCTGAAATTTTAGAAACCCCAGTCCGAGTTATTGAAATCCCAGTCAATAAAAACCCTTTATTTATCGGTAGAATAAACAGTTTTAAGACCTTTTAAGCCACCGTATGTGCAAGTGGTGGACACTTTTTTAAACTTTTTAAACGGAAATTTTTAAATTTGAATCCCGGAAATGGCATTTGCAGCATTCTGAGACACGCATAATCAGAAAACCCAGTATTTCGGGCGCCAGAATATGACTGTTCGCAGTTAGTGCTGTGAATAATATAGTTAACAACAAAAGACACCAAAAACAAATCAAAATTGTATTTTAAAATACTTAAAACGTGGAAAAATTGAGGATCGACTCGCATTACCTCAATCCCATTCCCATTTTTGAGGACTTCATTTCCCATTTCCAGTGGCCAAATCCCAGTCCCAGCAACCCAGGCCCATTTTCCCCAGTCTAAAAATAGACCAATCCCAGTTCCCATTTTACCCCTTCAGGACCCTCTATATAACTTAATTCGCTCGCGAAGATATTCAATTCAGTCTTTGAATCTCCGCTAGTTTAATTTGCTTTCATCTGCCCAACGTGTTAAAGTTTGTATTTTTTTGGACACCATAATATATTTGGTTTCGTTTTGTAACTCCCTGGTGACTGATAAATTAAGCGACTAAAATGGTGCGAAAAAAGGATCATATGTTAATTATATTTCTTATACATCACCATCATCATTATGTCAATTTACTTCACTATAATCACGTACAGCCATCGGAATTAGGCCAACTTCAAGAAGGCGAAAATTGCCTCCGCTAAGATGTAACCTGTTAGCAATTTTATTCTACTAGTGTTATCGACTAAGGCCTGTTTCATACGTCGCATTTAATTCAGACGAATTTAATTCGTTATTAAATTCGTCAATTGGTCGACACTAAAATGGTTTCGTTTTAAACGACGAATTTAATTCAGACGAATTCATTTCATGTCTAGCGATCATGGATTACCCAGAAGTAAAAAACCACGAGACAAGAAAGAGAGAAACAGACTTTAACATAATTTATGCATTTCATTCGACACGATGATAACACGTCGTATGAAACAAAGACGCGCTACAGACGTTGTATCCATCTGACCATGACGGATACAACGTCTTGGACGAATTTAATTCATCAGACGGATTTAATTCGTTTCATACGACGCACTAACGTCGCATTTAATTGGTTCAATTAAATTCGTCTGACTATTAAATTCGACGATAGTGCGACGTATGAAACGGGCCTAACTGAGGGAGAAAACGAACTTATGTATTATCCCGATATACAGAGAACAGAGACTAGTTACAATATATAGATATTATGTAAATTCCCAAACCTCGACCAAAAGTACGTGAAGGTTACAACTCACTGGCACTGGTATAGGGCCCTACCTTTTCCACAGGCGTTTTGAGAAATGTGGGAAAGGCGGGGAGACGCCTGCTGCATAATCTTTGCAAGATAGCGGAAACACATCACCGTGGTCGATAAAGTCTTCCCGATAAACGCTCTTTGTCACTACTGTCCGTCATGACTTTTGAGAAATACAGCAAGGATAGACAAAACAAAAACGATGCTGTTACATCACAATGGATCATTTTCCGGGTAAACCCGACTATCGGCACTTAATTCCGAGAATCGAACCTTTTTCACCCAGAGTTTCCCCGCCTATCCCATAGAGATGATAAATAACACAAATAGGGGTTATTTATAATCTCTATGGCCTTTCACACATTTCTCTCACCGCCCGCAAATGCCCACCCTAAATTCTCTCGCCCGCAAGTTAATAACAAAAAACGCCTGTGGAGGGGGTAGGGTAGGGCCACAAAATAAAGATCAGTAACAGAAGGGCCACTCAGCGGTGCAACGTGTTCGCGTTTTTTCATGCAAATATATGCAGTTTACTGGCCAGAAGGCGGAGCAGCCAGCCAGTACAGCGTGTTTATTGGCCAGAAAATGTCATTGACTGGCTAGGAAAATGGCGGCCAACATGCGTAATGCGACATGCGCGAGGACAGAAACTTCAATGCTTCCGACGTAAGTGGTCCTTCTGTATGGATCTTTATTCTATGGTAAGGCTGGACAGGGGAGCTTTAGTAACGGCAACCACCCATTGTATGCTTCCCTAAGCAAACTTTTTGTCCAAATATTTTAGGCCATTCTTTGGTCGACGGTGGTCGAGCGAATCCTTCTTGTGCGGAGCATCAAAACATTGACTATTCCGGAGGAAAGGCCTTCTTTTGTCGCATGAAAGGAAGATATGTTGTACTCACATTAGAGAAAGTGACTACGCGTTTACGTGTGCATGAGATGGTTATTAATCCTACTCATCAACGTAAGACTAATTTATAATTGATCATTGAGCGTTTGCACATGACGTCACAGCCACCATGTTGGTGTTCCAATTCAAAATAATTTTAATTAGACTCTTTTGTCTGGAACACCAATATGGCTTTTGTCGAGTTGGTCCCGGGGAATGAGTGCAACTGACGCTCAGTATAGTCATTGAATATTTGAATACATTCTTCGATTTGAACACTAGGCTATCATTTTTTCTGTGTTGGTGTTGTGTACTCAGGTGAATATGATATTTGTGATGTTACTCTGAGTGTATATCCACACCGGCCGAGCTTGAAAAATATGCCCGGCCGCGATGGGATTCGAACCTACGTCGATCGTAGGTTAGAATCCCACCGTGGCCGGACATATTTTTCAAGCTCTGCCGGTGTGGATATACACTCAGAGTAACATCACAAATATCACTAGGCCATCAGTTTTAAAGGACAATGGCAAAAATAATTTTATTGTCTTATTTGAAAGAAGGTTTAAAATTATCTCTAGAATCTTCTTGCAGATTATTATTTTCTTGCTTCATTCTATTAAACAGCCAGTGATCACTATTTCAAATTTAATAAAAGCATTTTAAACAATTTTTTATTGTTACTCAATGACTTAGAAGTAAAACTAACCCCACTCCTGACGTCATCAAAACGATAGTTAATATATTACGAATTAATCCAATTAAGATGGCGAACAGCTCATTTGCTTTTAGCCTTTTAGTCAAATACTTCAAGACTTATACTTGATATGAAAAATCTGTGAAAAGATTTTAGACATTCTTTCAAATGAGACAATAATTTAGAAATTTTTCTTCTTTAAAACGAGGTTTTCAAATCGACCAACTTTTTGTCGATGTTGAAGAATGAAGAGCGGTGTCTCCTTAGTGGCTTCGGCACGTCCAAATTTTTATCATTTTTTACGATATAAAACGAAAATTCCCCAATTTATCGCCTTAAATAAATGTAAAACCGGTCATGGACTGTTGATAAAACTAAGATCGAATACTTGAATTGTAGCAAAAGGGTCCGTGCAAAAATTGATTTTCTTGGGTTTACATAAGTTTCCCCCCATTAACAAGCTTCAATCTGTCCCTTTCGTTTGCCAGAACTTTTCCTGCAATGCCTGCTATATTCTCATTTATAATTTCTATGTGCCGGAGGTCTTAAAGGTGATCTACAGTCCGTATGTAAACAAAGCCTTTGTTTACATTTTTGTGTCCAAAATATTGAGCTTTATTCGACAACTTTTAAATTTTCATGCTTCTGGAGTATAATAAATGATCAAGAAACAACAATCAGGCTTTTTAAGAACTCAAAACATAGTTAAACTGTTTGTATCATAAAAAGTGGGCTCATTTGTGCACATGCGCAGATCGGACTGTAGGTCACCTTTAACATTTTTCTTTACATATGAAAACTAATTTAGAAAACCACGCAGAATCCTTGACTCCTGAGATATTTCCTGCCACATGCACGACAGGTGTATCTGGTTTCTGTTGGACAAACCGATTGACGGATAATGTGCCGGAACCTGGCGGATATGTGACCACCGTTGGAAATAATGGTAACTGGTTACGCTTGAATCTCGGCATGGCGACATCCGTCGGCAAAATTATGATTGCAAATGTTGTTCCTGATCCATACAAAGAGCAGTTGATCGATTTTGAATTGAGAGTGGGTGAGAATGCAGTTGATTTTAAGTTTATCAACTAATAATAATAATAATAAAAGCATTTATTTACAGTACGATAATAATATTACAGTATATTATACCTCAAATTCAAATTGTCCAATCAAGAAACAGCATTTGTACCGCGTGACAATGTGATTTTTTACGGTAGTTCACTCAAATTCACGATTCCCCAATGCTGCGTGAGATCTGACTATAATATCTCACGGTAGATCCACCGTGGACACCACGCTCTGAAATAATATGGCGTTCGCGAGCTGTTGTTTGTAATTTCGTACAGAAGATTTATCGATTTAACCAAAGATTTTCAAGACGTATGTTACCTTCAATGATCCAAAGAATACATGCTCAAATCTTTTAAGGGGCGGACCATTAGAAATCCCGGGAGGGGGGGGGGGTGAAAATTAAAAAAAAATAAAATTCGTGCAATGAAAAATGCCTGGAAAAAAAATTTGCGCAGTCATTACATCAGAGAAAAAAAATCGTGCAAGCAGACAGCAAAGTGCAAATAGTCTTGAAAAAATTCTTGCAGAGGTTAAATGCATAAAAAAAATCCTGCAGAGACATGAGACTGAAAAAAAAATCGTGCCGCAAAAATTTTATACCCCCCTCCCGGGATTTCTAATGGTCGCCCCTAAAGAGAAAACGTCAAAAACTCACTAGACACAAGAAATTAAAAATTGTATTCGCGGCTTAGCCTAGTTAATTATTCAGCAAGTTCTAAAGTTTATTCTGAACTTAGTAGGTTCTTTAAAACCCTCCGGCCTCCGCTCGGGGGAGTCGTCGAAATATTACCCTCCGTGATGATATTATCATCTGACTAGGACAATAGATTGTTCTTACCATCAACGATAGTGCGACCAATTATCTAGTCGATAAAGCACACAGGCGCGCACGATGCGATTTTAGTCGGCCAATTAAAATTAATGACATTTTTGCGCGCCAGCTATCATTTTCATGATCAAATTTGTTTTATAATGTTCGATTTTTATTCGATATAAAGTACGAGCTCTCTTGAAAATAAATAGTTGCGGGGCTTTCATATAATTGACCAGTGTAATTATTTCATTAATCGTTATAGGAGATAGTTTAGATAACAACGGCAACTCGAATCCATTGTGCCTGGACGGTTTGCAGAGTATGCTTGGAAAGAAAATTGAATCTTTTTACTGCTCACCACCGGTCACGGGACAGTATGTAAATCTGAATCAGAGAACAACGGACAAACGTCTCATCTTATCAGAAATTGCTGTTTACTCCGACTTCGAACGTAAGTTACGTGAGATATATGATATATGATATATGATATATGATATATGATATACGATATACGATATACGATATGTGATCAAGGGTGGGTTGACTACAAAATTTTTGTAGTTCGCTATAACTACAGCTACTTCAAAAATATGTAGTCAGCTACAACTACTGCTACTTTTGAACAAAGGTAGTTCGTTACTGACTACAGATACTGCTTAAAAAATGTAGCGAACTATTTCGCTATTTCGCTACGCTATCTTTTTTAGTTTTACTGTATTTGGGGCATCTACTAACTCAGGCTGAAATGTAACCTATAACAAATCGACTTACGAGTAGCAACAGTAAACACAAAGCAATATGTTTGTAAGCACTACAGTGTTCAAGAGTGTAAATTGACTATTGAGTATTGATTTTAAGTAAACCGTGTCTCAATATCATGCTATTCTATCAAGTTGCTAACATTTTTAAAAAGTAGCGAATAGCGATTTGCTGTTTGAAAAGTAGTCAACTACTTGGCTACTTTTAGGCAAATGTAGTTCGCTATAACTACAGCTACAGTTTCAAAAAAGTAGTCAAAAACTACTGGCTACTTGAAAATTGTAGTTTGCTACAGTAGCGAACTACAACTACTTCGCTACTACCCACCCTTGTATGTGATATGTGATATGTGATATGTAAATTAAGGTAAAAATAAATCCACTAAATTCTCTAGGCATCTTTATAAAGAGCTCAGTGGATTTTGTTGATTTGCTGTACCTTAATTTAAATATACTCTGGTTTTCCATTGAGCACTTTGCCAAAAGTTTTTTATAACCAACGAAACCAAATCTGGGACTTGTGCCCAAGAACAAATTGATTAAATTTGGTTAAATTTGGATAAAACTAGATGAGAAATTATTAGCAAAAGATTGTCTTGTTTTGCCGGATAGAATACACTGAACACAGGTATATGCAGTCTTTGACAGCGCGTTCTAGTGATCTATTTTGTGTTTACGATTATTTCACTAATTTACCGTCATCTGTTTTTTAGCAAAAATGAAAGACAGATTCGGCAAGGAGAGACAACTATGGCGTGGCATTGGTGAAAGCATTGTTCTATCGTGTGAAGCGTATGATCAGCCAACCCCTGTCGTATCATGGATTAAAGATGGAGTAATCTTAGTGACGGATTCTAGTACGTTAGAGATAAACAGCGCAACGGTAGAAGACAGCGGAGTATACGAGTGTTGGGCAAACAGTACACTTGGGGAGGAATACATGCCTTTTCATGTGAATATTACAAGTGAGTTCAATGGCTATCAAAGACATGCATTTTATACTTTAGAAACACTATTTTCCAGGTTAACCTAGAAAATAACACTATTTAGATTAACTTAACATTCCTGCATGTTAAATTTCCATGCAGGTTAACGTTATTTCATATGAGTCACGATTCAGGAATAGTTACCATTCAGTTTAGGCTTTTACGGTTAGGATTAGGGTTTGTATTAAGGAAAGGGTTAGGATTAGGATTAAGATTAGGATTAGAGTGAGGGTTAGGGATACATTTCAAGTAAAGTTTTGCAAAATAAAAAACCCCTTTTTTATTGCAAAGCGCGAGCTTGTACTCGACGCATAACGACAAAAACCGTCCATTATATAACGATGGATAATTTCAGTTGCACTTCGCTATGTACTTATATACCCGGGTGTAAATAGCCAAGCGAAATTTGTGCCCTCGCCCCGAAACGGCGCGTGTCAACACCGGGGATAATCGACTAGTAGCTTTTCAACAACTCACCTGCACCGCGATCGGGAGAAACCATTCAACAGAACTACGTCTGCCTATAAAAATAAATTTATACAAAGTATGAACATCGACCATTCTTTTAAATTGGTCTCCAAATCATGAGAATTCTGTGTTCGAATAACAATCGAGCATCGGTCATTTTAGTCTGAGTAAAATCCCAATAGCTGGGTTTCAGTCATGCGGTACGTTTAGCGCATGGCCGGATCAACTCGAAATGGAAACACATTTATCGGATCGAGTTGGATATTCATTACAAGTATTCATCTCGTGTTTGGTATCAAATATATGCAATTTAACGAAATTTACTTGCTTACACAAGGCATGTGTAAAATGGCAATATGTGATCACCAAGAGTTTCCCTATGTATAAGGCTTGAGTGAAACCCACCCATATGGCCGCCAACAGATTTTCCGCACGGACATTATGGCCAATTATTTTACCACATTAATCTGAGTAATCTCTCCCTCATTCTTGCAAACTGACCAAAACGCAATTCCTAATTAGTGATCTGTTACGTGTACCAAGGAATTTATTACTCAGTTAGAATACGTCTTCACGGTAACTCAAAAAATATCCAACTGATCAATACGAAAATTTTTTGGGCAAATAGAAATAGCTCAAGGATAAATCGGTTAAATTTTTGTTAAATTTTGATAAAAAGTAGACGAGAAATTAGCAAAAGTTAATCTTGCTTTCCCGGGCAGAGTATATGGAATGCATAATTAGCGCATTGTATAATTTATGCATAATGCGTGGCATAATTTTCTGGCGGGGTATGCAACCTCCGAGTGCCATTTTGTTATTACTGAAATAGCATTATAGTAATTTTTCCCCTTGCGTTCATACAGGCGATGTTCGACCCTGTGCTGAAAGTATAGAAATCGAGCTTGATCTTGGAAATTTAGAAACTTCATACCCTGAAATTTTTGGAAATAAATGGTATCGTTTCTATGACACAACGTCAAATAATTATCTCAAGGTAAATAAAGAAATACTTTACACTATAAAAGGGAGTGGATCGACATGCTTAATATAGGCGTGACTCTCTTGAAAAAGGAGAACATTCCTTTCCACTTGTTTCGTCAACCAAACAGGATTACCAGTATCTCACGCAACAAACGGTGTGCTACATATTTTTAGGAGAAACCCAACTTAGCAGCTTTGACAAAATCTAATCATTCTGGTCAATATTCATCCATACAGATACACTAATTAAAACAACTTTTTACTGTTTCATTTATTTTTATTTTACTCAGATGGTCGACAAAATTCCGAGAAAAGGTTCCACATGCAATTCCTGGATAAGCGACACTCACCCTGGACCAAGCGATGCAATAGCGGAAAAAATTGTATGTGTCAAAGAAAAAAACATCGGGTGCAATCGTCAATATGAAATACGCATTAAAAACTGCCTTGGATACTATATTTATAATTTACCGTGGTCATCTGGGTTAGCACTATTTTCCATCCAGCAAACTGACCTGACCTCATTTTCGCAAGATAGAAGAAGTGTTAAATGGCTATGTAACTAACCCAAACCCTACCCCTACTCTAACCCCTAACCCTAACCTCAACCCTAACTCTAACCCTAACCCTAACCGAATTAATCAAAAAATCCAAAAAGAAACGATTTTACAAAATCGATAGGGCGGTTTGCTGGATGGAAAAAAGTGCTAACCGGTCATCTGGTGCAACCGATGTTGAGTACTGTTTCCAGTCAGGTTAGTTACATCACATGTATCAAGAGGAAAAATCAATATGCATCAGAAAAATTGCAAAGTATCTTGTCCATGTAGATTTAAGGCTTGACCAAAAGGCCGAGCAAGCATTCTGAAAGTGCTGGGGGAAGGGGGGCACCAATGACACTGGAATCATGGCACATTGCAACAACAAGATCTAGAAAGGCTGACAATAATTCAAAACATTTACTAGAACAATATTGCTTTTTACTCAAGAAACGTTAACAATTTGTTTTTCCGCAAAACACTGGATATAGTTCCCATTAACAGTGGCGCCGCCAGCTCGATAATTGGGGTGGCAAATATTCATATCTTCGTGTTCTGCATTATTAACTTCTTTTGAAATCATTGTTTTTATGGTCTGTGAACACAAATATATGAATATTCGCCCCGCCCCTCCCACTGCCCATTAATCACTTTTGTAGGAGTACCTGTCAATTCTCGTCACTCGTCACATGTTTTGTTCCGTATATGTATATTGTATATGTCAATTTATTTCATTGTAAACCACCCATTGAAGACTGCAGACTAGCTACTAGCCGTTGAAAGTTCGTCTAAAAGTTCAGAGCGGCTGAACACTACTAATGAATAAGCCTGGTTTCGCCTCTATGGCTCTAACATCTTTAAATTATATTTATAACATTATAAATAATGGTTTCATTATCTTTCTTGAATCGACACAGATGAAGATGTCCGCCCAAGACCAGCCATTTCTATGAAAGTGAAGGCCGATCATGCTTTATTCAATCATATATTGCTAACCGAAACAGATATCCAGGATTCGTCACAATGTATGATCATGTGCGCCTTAAAGAGCACGTGTCAATCGTTCAATTACAGTGATAAAGAGAAAGTTTGTGAACTCAATGGTTCCACAAAGCAGAAGCATTTGGAAGATTTTTTACCAAGGGTTGGTTACCATTATTTCATGAAAGGAAAAGGCGTGGTTAACAAAAGATTTGCAGGAGATTTGTAAGAGATATACGTCTGTGGTAGGTGGTGGTTATTTTTCCCGATTATCTGACGATTAAGTAATTTTAGCACCTAGAATGCACTTGCGGAGACGGCACACCTCCGCCAGCCAATTAAGTTATGTATCATGCATATCGGCCCATGTAAGATAATCCAGGAATCCAGAATCCGACTTTTAATAGCTTTGCAATCCGGAATTCAGACAGTGGAATCCAGAATCCAAGACAGTGGAATCCAGAATTCAGACAGTGAATTCCAGGAATCCGGAATTCTTATCCTGGACATCCTGGGCCAATTTTCTGAAATCCGGAATCCACGAACTATCTGCAATCGTCCTCAAAATATACTGCCTGAGACTTTTGAAATCATTCCTCCCTCCCCCTATTTCAATGCGGAAAGGCTACTATATCTTTCAAAATGGAACATAACAAGACACTAGAACCGAAACTGTCCCATTTGCAGTTGACGTTTGACATATAATGTTTGAATTAAACAATGTTTTTTTACAAAACAACATTGAAATCTGGAAGGGGAGTTTGCCTCAAATATTTTGCGGACGATTGTGGAATCCGGAATCCAAGGAGCGGAATCCAGAATCCGAAGAGAGAAATCCGGAATCCAAGGGGCGGAATCCGAAGAGATAAATCCGGAATCCAAGGAGCGGAATCCGAAGAGAGAAATCCGGAATCCAAAGAGTGCATGGATTACCTTACATGGGGCGATGCATAAATAATTGAATGGGCTATTTACGTCTACTACTAGAACACAGGCTGACATGCAGTATTTTTATTCTCACCTTATTCCATATTTGTTTCATACTTATTTCGTCGTATTTGTTGTAGTTTCTGTATATTTGTATAAAATATATTCTGTAATGTGATATACATGTTTTGTTTATTCTGACTAAATCCAGCTGATTGATTCTTTTTTGTCACGTGAAGTAAATTTAAATGAAGTATAGCTATATTCGCTAATGTAGTCAGTATTCTGATATGAAATTGCGCTTATACGAAGCCAGACAACAGAATCAGGTTTTTCGAATTTCTAACGATGTAGCCATTAAACTCCTTTTCTCTCAATTTAAATGTGCTAAAAAATTTCCAAAATTAATAGCCCTTTACCTAGATTACTGTTGTTTGCAGAGTTTCAAAACGGAGCGCTTGCCGCTTCGAGTGAATTCAAACGCGATTACTTTTTCGGTACCGCTTTCAAACCAAGCATCTCAGATCTCAAAACAGGAAATTCGAATGCTTTTCGTTTAAATTTCTTTGCTCTATTTGAAATATTTTGGGTTTACATGAATGCTAATGGTGATTCCAGCTATATAGACGAAATTTTGATTTATAGACAGGAAGAACGAAACCATTACCATAGCTGGAAAGAGCATCTAAAAATGAGTAAAATTGCAAAGTTTGGTTGCGAATTGTTGTAAAATGAGGAAAATATAGCCCTGTGAAATTTTGCATATATTTGTATTACGCGCGGGAAAAATAACCATTTTTGAGCCGAAAGTGGTTAATTTTACCGCACGTAATACAAGTAGGCCTATATCCAAAATTTGGGGTATATGTTCTTCGTTTTACTCATTCTAAGACGCTCTTTCTAGCTGTGGTGTTGGCCTTGATCAAAATTTAATCTTTAGCTAGCTGGAATCAGCCATTGAATCATGTAAAGAAATTGTAACGGCGTCGGTGTGAACACCCGCAAATTCTGCCGCGGCGTTATTTCGCCCCCGTGTGTGTGAGCGTTGTCTAAGCCGGATACAGTATATCTGTTGCCAGTCCCTTTGCATGTCATGACCGAGTACCGGTGTCAGAAACATTGTATTGTGTGCAAAAGTCACCAACCCGTCATCAACGTGACAGGTAGTTGCAACTCTTTCAAAGATCGTTGACTTTGAATAACACAAAGCAAATTAAACTAAACAACAACAAACTAAATAACTGTAAAGAAGTTTGGAAAATTTTGTGTGTGGATTTTTAAACTGAGCCAAGACGTTTGGGGACGCTAGGTGCTGTAAGCCGATAAGAATGTAAGTCCATAGTCAGACTTTAACAGTGAATAGAAATTATATATGAATAATAGTATTATTAAGCTTGTAAATTGAAAATTGTAACAAAGTCTTAGCTAAAATCACTGTGGTGTATTAAATGCTAAACCATTATAATTTTTGGCGGAATTTTCACTGAGACACATAGAAGATGATTAGGAATTAAAAGGATAGCTATTAACACTTCTCAAATAAGAAACGGTATTATTGCTAACATAATTATTATGAAATTCAACGTAAATTCAATAAACTCAGATACAGAGATGAAGGAATAATGATGGCATGTTTCGCCCTTCGTGTATTTAAAACGCCGGGGTTTGAATTTACAACGTGGCCTTCGAAACCAGTTTTATAGTTTATTATAAGTCATAGACTTCACTATTTGTACTACGTTTCGTACGTGGGCTAATACACAACAATTCGTTATCGTCATAATCCTCCTAAAATTTCAGGTGTATTTTATAACAGTCTAAAGACTCAGCCTTTTCCACTCATGACAAAATCAACTCGCAAGCTCGCTGAGATCTAGTTAAACAAACTGTCAAGCATTGTGATTGGATGAGTTTATCGAGTTGACTCTTGCGATGAATGGAAAAAAGCTCCCATGTTCCCATAATTGGGTTGTTGGTGTCCTGGTGGTTAGGGTATATATGTTCCTTTTATCTTTTTATCTACGATTCAAGTTCGTTTCCCGCATTTAGCAGTAAACCGTTAATTTAATTTTCATTTTGGCTCAGTGGTTTTCTCCTGGTGTTGTTCGAAAACCGATTAGTTTAATCCTAGCTTAACCAAAAATTCGAAGCAAACTTCCTGACAGCTTGTCTATAAATTTGGAAAGGTTTCTTCAAAAATCTTGTCTGGATCGATTAAGTTTCTGAAATTTTGGAATAAACAGATACGCAGAAATACAATACAGCGTTAACCCACCTTTGAACAACCGGACCCAGGTACATATAATTCTCTACAACTACGGACGACATTTTAACTGTCAAAGCTGATATAGCTACCCAAGGCCAGTTGTTGAAATAAAATTAATAGTTTATTTTGGTTTACGTATTCGAAATTTATAAATACTTCATCCTAAGGATATGCGCGATAAGGGTTTGTGCCTTTGAGCGATGCTATTTATGTCGATGCATGGCAGTAACATCCCATGATTGTGATATGATATATTGGCAACGAGAAACATATATACTGGTGTTAAAATAGCTTCAAAGCAACAAACAAGTGACCCTATCTCACCGCCAAGCACTTTTAATCTACCAACTTTAATTTATTCTCGATCGAACTATAAGTACTAGATAAAACATGAGCAGCCGCGATCTTTATCTGATATACAAACTCGAGCCGAAGACGAGCTTGTGCTCGTGCTTAAAAAACGACCCATCGTATGAGTTCATTGGCGAAGTAATTTTAGAAATAAACATTGTCAAAGCCGAGAAAATCAAAGCTGAAGTTTATGTAAATCAGGACAAATCTTTCATCCGATTTACAAACGTTGATTACCTTAATTAATATTAATGAGTTCAGTTTTAAATAACATCGAAAGGTGACTGTGTACCTTCACCTTTAGAAATTAATTTCTTTTGTTTAGAAAACAGACATTGATATACACCTTGGACAATCTTTTTAAAACAACGATCAAACATTACTACAAGTGTGTAAGAACAAAAAGAGAGAAATATATCGGAAATAAGATGTAAGGAATTCCTGGACGAAAAGAAACTAGATTAATTAAGGTAATCTAAAGAAATCCTTACTCTAGGATAGTAGCATGGCTTCGCTTTGGCCTTCACCGTCAGGGAAGTGGACGAAGATCAGCTTTTCCGACGACATCAGTTCCCGAGCGTATCGCGAAGACGTGACGAAGTGTGTCTTACATAACGACAGCGACGTCGATAGCGACGAAGATGACGCATGGATGTCGCAGCTTGAGAAAGATTACGACAGTTCGCGACGACGACGAAAACGTCGAACTTGGACGATGTATGAGAGAAGAGTTACCACTGCTCTTAGCGTCTTTGTAACGACCACTGTCGTGTTGGCGCTTTTGATTCTGTACAAGAGTCACCTTAGGTGAGTGAGTGTGAGTGAGTGAGGTGTGCTATAAATCATCCCTTACTTGCAGCTGAGACGTAAGCTGAATAGACAATTCCCATTATAGACTAATTTTAAAACTAGGCAAGGAGATGCAAATATATAAATTACCACAGCTAGTAATCACAAATAAATGGTAGTAAAGATAATTCGTCGTAGTAAGTCGTATATTATCAATCGTATGAATTTAATACAGTCTTAGAAGTTGAAGACATGGGTTTTATGGTTGGGAAGAGTTCTCCTGAACCTAGTTTGAAGTTGCACTTGTTGCGGCTTGAAATGCAGCCGTTGTATCAAGACATGAAAATCTGTGATTTGGCGTTGTAAACAGAGCGAGGACAATGTCTAAATTATTCATATATTGTAATTTTTCAATTCTTTTCAATGATCTATTGTATTGGTAGCCGTAGCCGTCGCGTTGCCGTCCTGAAATCGTAAGGTCTCTATTGACTAGAACACACGCGTGCAGTTTTGAAGGTCTCACCACCACAAAAACTAAATATATTTTTAATCTTTAGATCTTTCTTCCGCAAAGACGATCCCGTTTGTCTGACTAGGGCCTGCGTTCAGGCAGCAAACGAACTTTCAAAATCCCTCAACGACCGAGTCAATCCGTGCGACGATTTTTACCAGTACGCGTGTGGGGCTTGGGAACGAGATACGTCTATTCCTATTGGATCCCCTAAGTTCACATCGTTTCACCGCATTGCGCAAAAGAATCAGTTGATCTTAAAGAGGATACTTGATCGTGGTGGACTGCAGACTCACAAAAGTTCAGCAGTCAGGAACGTTGCTACATATTATACTTCGTGTCTCGATCAGAAGATTATCGAATCTAGGGGAGCAAAACCGCTGCAAGATCTTATCAAGCTCGTTGGCTCTTGGACGGTCACCAATACGGCATGGAATCCTGAAGGATGGAATTTTGGTCAAGCGCTAACGCAGATTCACAAACTCAAGAGTATGCCGCTGTTCTACATGTTTGTAGGCCCGGATGATAAAGATTCATCGCGCAATATAATACAGGTAATTGTGTATATTATTATGCGCGCGCAATAAGGTTAACAATGAAGCTAAATTGACGACTGCCTAACAAAAGTGATCAGTGTTTAGGACTCTTCTTGAGGAAATCCTTTCTTTAGTTTTATTATGTTTCATTATTATGATTAAGCAACCAATCACAGAAGATTTACAGGCGCAATAGGCCCTATGCATAACATGCCATTAGTCTCTAATAGTTTTACATTTGTGATGGAGAATAGTAGAATTTTCAAAACTATGAAAAGACAATGTAACATTGTGCGAATTAAGACTGGATGTAGCCTGCGAGTAGCCCTAGACTGGATGGCACTTTCCTCAATTCTATACTGTATAAAATGCGGATTTCGTAAACAATCAATTTTCAATTTCATTTATTGCATATAGGCATATACCATAAACTAATATGTTATATTTTTCATATGTGAATATAGACCAGATCATATGCAATCCATTTAAAGGGAGGAACAAAAACAGCATGGAAAATTATTTGATGTAACTGTTATCTTTTCGTATAGATTCAGCAAGCTGGAATCACACTGCCAGACGAAGAATATTACAACCGAAAAGACAATGACAAGGTACATTAAACTAGTTGAGAGTAGAGGATTCGTTGGCAGAAAAGGAATTGCTAAACAAGCGATTTTAAAGTGAAAACATTTATAGATCAATCAAATCATCAGCGATGCGTGTGTGAGAAATTCACGGGTGATTAGTGATTACGTACAACCAGCAATTGCTAGGGTGGAAAGCGTTGCAATATCAATCTTTACAGCATGCTTTGAATGGGGATGGCAGTGGCTATCTGCTACAAAAGTACCATCTTGTTGGCTAATGACGTCATCTCTTTAGTATGTAATGCAGTCGCGTTACAACTTTAAATCAGCCCTGACGAAGATACTAGACTATGTCGAAATGTTGGATTGTGAATGTCAATTGTATGGCGATTGCATCTATTACTTCAACTGGAATAGCAAGCAAAATCTGATTACCGTCGATAGCAAACTTCCATATCAAATAATATTTGAGGAAATTAGTCAGTTTTGAAATATAATCTAATTCAGGTAATGACGCATCTTTTAATTATTTTCAGTTGATCGTTGCTTATAAAGATTTCATGGTGAAGACGGCCATGTTGCTTGGTGCCAACGACAAGGCAAATGTTATAAAGCAAATGAACGAGGTTCTTCAGTTTGAGAGAAATGTGGCCAAAATTTACGAACCTAAAGGAAAGCTAAAAGACAGCGAGAATATTTACAATAAAATGACGATCGCCGACCTGCAGCAAATGGCGCCATCGGTATGTTGAAAGAAATGTTGTCATAATCATTTTTAATTGAGAGACTAGAGAGGGGTTTCACACACGCGTTTGAAGAAAATTCCCGAACATTTGGTCACGCACATATTTCTACTTCCATTACAAAAAGGTTTTTCTTCCAAAACGCAACATTACATTTTTATCCTTCTGTACATGATATTACTTGTTTTGAGGTAAGATCATGTTCTTAATTTGAGTTATAATCATATAGAGGGAAAAATCACTCAAACATGATTGGCTAATGAGGAGGGCATTTTTTCTTAATTCAGGGCAAAATTACTTGTACCTGATTGGCTGAGACGCAAGCGCAGGAAGTTTCTTGTTTTAAATAGCAATAAAAACAATGGTTTCTCGCTTTGTCGCTGCGGATAATGATGTTACTGAAGAATTAAAAACTTCTAGTGAGAACTCGAACACTATAGAAAAAGTACAAATTTATTGGTTGGAGTGTTTAAGAAATGGGCAGCGTTAAGGAACATCGGCAAAGACATGGAGACATACGAGGTTCAAGAACTTGACAAGTTCACAATTAACTTACGAATAAATTTTGCCCTCGATGATTAACAAGTAATCGCATAGTTCCTCGCAAAATTAAGGTTTAATTTCGCTTGTGTTTTCAAATTAAAGTTTCACAATTTGTGAAACTTTGAAAACACGCATGAAATTAAACTTTAAATTTACTCGGCCCCATGCGACTACCTATACCGAAATTTGTTCAATTTCAATACCAGCATTAAGTTTGCTCTGCCTGACAAAGCAAGACAAAGGTTTGCTTCTGACATTCGATTTTCATCTAAAGCTAACGAAAATTGAGTCAATTTGTCCTTGGGCAATGTTTATTACGCCCACAAATTTTCGTACAAATACGTTTGATAGTTTTTGTGTTTTTGTGCTGACGGACAGACACACACATACACACTTACAAACTAAAAACATAACTTCCGCAAGGAACGAAAAGAAATCATCAACTACATACGAAAGTTTGATTTAGACAAGAAGAATGCAATCCATTACCATAGCTGGAAAGAGCATCTTAAAATGAGTAAAATTACAAAGTTTGGTGGAGAATTGTTGTAAAATGAGGAAAACATAGTCCTGTGAAGTTCGCAAATTTTGTATATATTTGCATTACGCGCGGGAAAAATAACATTTTTCAAAAATAACAAGAGAAATAATAATATTTTTACCGCGCGTAATACAAATATATACAAAATTTGCGAATTTCACAGAGGTATATTTTCTTCATTTTACAACATTTAGTAACCAATCCTTGCAGTTTTACTCATTCTAAGACGCTCTTTCTAGCTATGGTGTTGTGTGGTGTTGGATTTCGTTCTTCTTGCCTTGATCAAAATTTAGTCCATAGCTCGAATCACCCATTATTCTTGGAAGAAAAACTTTGTGCTATGAATGAAATGGCTCAGTTTGAAAAAAAACTTGATCAATATTTGTTATATGTACTCACGTTTGAACTTTAGATTCCTTGGATGGATTACATGAACAACATATTTAGCAGCCCGGTCACATTTTCCGAGCCAGTTGTTGTCTACACACCACATTATCTCCGGAATATGTCCGAACTGGTGACAAAAACTGAAAGAAGGTAAAAACATCGAGATTAATTCAATGCTCATTACATAATTAGGATAAATTATAACCTATTTAGCTAGATGCAAAGTTTTATGGTCATTGCTGTTCATAGAATATTTCTAAAAATTCCAGGCGATGTTTTCTGGTAAGAAATCGAATGGATCGAATTTGATACAGTATACAACAAAAATTTGATTGTTGGCTTGAACATGATTTAAAGGTGCAACTTTGGATTATCCTCGATACAAAACATATTTTGTTTGTTGGCATAAGAAAATATTATAGAAAAATGTTTATCCACTTCTAAAGAACGAAGTACTGTTGTTTCATTCTAAAGACAAGATTTAGAGCAAGCCAACAAAACTAAAACTTTTTATATGAGAGGTCTGCAATATAACTTTTGTTTCGATAAAAATTAAAAATATATGGTAAATATATGGCAAAGAAATCTAACTCCATATCTAAAACTTCTATTAGAAAGTCCTTTAGAACTACAGCAGTTCACAGGAAGTTTTAATTAAAATATTTATTAACTTTTGTGCTCTAGAGTGTTAGCTAACTACATGGTGTGGCATTTGATCAAGCCATTGGTTCACTTACTCTCCCAGCCATTCAGAGAGGCATATGACGCATTTGAAATGATCGAGAAAGGATCACAACCTACGCCACCTTCAACTTCTGAATGTGTAGCAAGGAGCGAGTCTTTGTTCGGTTTTGCGACTGGAATGTTGTATGTGAAAGAAAGATATGGCAAGGAAGCTAAATCTGAGGTAACGTCATCATAATTACCATCATCATCTTCACCATCATCATTACCATCATCATCACTATCACCGTCATCATCATCACAATCATCATCACCATTACCATCATCACCATATCATCATCATCACCATAATCATCATAATCATCACCATCATTATCACCACCATCACCACAAACATCATCATCATCACACAATCATCATCATTATAATCATCATCATAATCATCACCATCACCATCAGTAATTCATCACCATCACCATCATTAGTATCCCTTATATTATTATCCCTTCTATTATTATAAAGACAACTTAATTTCTTAACTTTTTTAGGCTTCTGAAATGATTAAAACTATCAAAGAAGCATTTGAACGAAATATTCCGAGAGCTGATTGGATGGACGAAAGTACCAAAGAAAAGGCTTTAGAAAAAGTAAGAAGTCATAAACAAGATAACTAAATGCTAACTATATGACGAAACGAAACGGATGATGCAAAATGAATGTTTCTGTTCTCTGTATTTTAAAATATATCATATCGTTTTCACATTTAGTTAAATGCTGTCATTGAAATGATTGGCTATCCCTCCTGGATTGAAGATATTTCTAAACTTGACAATTATTACTCAAATGTAAGTCTTATCCCATGCAGAGAAATTCTGACAAAGGACAGATTGAAAAGAGAATGAAATGCAAAGAAAGTAATTTAACCTGATATCTGATTTCAGTTAACAATGAAGAAGGATTCACATTTTGAAAATTATTTGGATGCTCGGAGATTTTATCATGCGAAAATGATGAGTAAACGTTCCAAGCTGGTGGAAAGGAGCGAGTGAGTGTGGCCATTGATTCGTATTAATGTCCTAAGTGTTTCTTGTTAAAACGATAGTATGTGATATAGCTGAATTTTTTAATTTCGATTTCAGATGGCATCTCACACCTTCTGAAGTCAACGCATACTACAATACGCCGAACAACTATATCGGTAAACAAAATTGACATTATGTATGTTTCGCTCGCTACTCTGGTTTAAATAAATGATTACAAAGCCCAGCGTAACATAATTAATGTACCTGGTTGCAGTGAACGAACAAACTTTTAAAATTGACACTAGTCTGGCCAGGGACGACGGAACGATGTGAAGGCAAGGGGGGCAGATTTTCGTGAAAGGGCACTTTTTAATTGATATATACTAAGAGATGTTTACAAAACATTGGGAGTTGAACTTTGCCTAGTCATGCTTTCTATTTATTGGATGATAGGGGTGTGAGGGGGTTCTCCGCCAGGCGATTGTGCTATAACTGCTATTCTTGAAGCTCGATGACTGCATTTCTTGCATTTTCTGAAGCAAATTCGTAAAAGAATTGCACTAACATTTCTGACAATTCGCTATTTCGCCAAGGCAATCCTTTAAATTAAAAGGGCACTTTTGCCCCCTTGCCCTCCTGGTAAAGGGCAACGGGGGCGACTGCCCCTCCTGCCCCCCCAGTTCCGGCGTCCCTGAGTCTGGCTTTGTGGTAGATTCAGTTCGTTTTTTCATTGAGGGATACATGCACGTATTGGATTCTACAGCGCAAACGGCAAACATGCATGTTAAATATACACACGTAAAAATAAACCTACAGCAGACTGGTAGCAATGCTGTTCCAACAACTTGTGAACGGCTTGTTGATAACTTGCTGCAAGGTTGTTGAGCTCAACAGACCTGTTACAAGTTGTTCTGACAACTTGTTGTCGTCCTGCGGTTCAACAATCTGTCAACAAGTCCTGCCAACCTTGTAGCAACTTGATAAAATAACAGCATTGTTACGACTCGTCGACAAGCATGTTACAAGTCTGTTGCGGACACATTTTGTTGAGAAGTTGTGAAATTTTACGTGTGTACGTGAGGGTTTAATTCATGTCATGGTAAATTAATAATAATGTTCAATGATTCTTCCTAGCATTTCCACTGGGTATATTACAGAGACCGTTCTTTGAACCTTCGTGGCCCAAGTAAGTCTATCAGTTGCTTCGACGTTTAATTTCAACATGGATAATAAAATAAATTATTTTAAGTTATTTTACAATCCATGATTTCAACATGCACTCATTTTTAAATCGTATCTTATATTGAAACAACTTACGGCTGAAAAATTAACACCGAAGTACATATTTCTCTCAGGTATTTAAACTATGGAGCGATTGGAGTGATTATGGGACACGAACTAACTCATGGATTCGACAGTCATGGTATGTTTATGGGGTGTAATGCTAAGTACAATTCAAAAAAGACGGAATTTTCCATTCTAGGAAGTTGCATCCAATTTTCTATCTTTCATCCCTGTGAAAATATTGTTACGAATGAATACATAATTAGTCATTATTTGTTTTATGTGACACCAAAATCTCAAACTCATTAATAATTCAAAAGTAAATTAGCCAACCATACTGCTTTATTTTGTTCTCATGATAACACTGGATACCTGGTGAAGTATATTGATCCTGTCCTAGGCCGACCATATATAGATATCTTGTATACACTAGATAGTGCATCCCTGTTAGTAAAATTGAAGCCAAGAATATTCCAGCGGTTACCCCCATTTGAATCAGATGGCGGCCATGTTGGTCGTTCCCACTTGGTAATAAACGCTTAAAAACAACAACAACTTTGATAATTTGAATGGTTTAAAAATGTATTTGGAATAGGGTTAACTTAATGTTTAAGTTCCGTGTTTAAGAAATAGAAAACATACGAATCTTCTTATTTCATGGGAACGACCTGAGACTGCAATCACGGCTTCAATTTTTGAATTGCAGAATAATTAGATGCACTATCTAGTGAATATAAGATATCTATGAGGCCGACTGGATCAAAATTAATTCACTTTAAGTGGTGATTTATTCGTACGAGATGTCATTTCAAATCCCCAATTCGGACTGGACTAGATTTCAAGTCCTCGCATTTTGATCCAATCCTCGGCTTCGCCTTGGCTTGATCAAATTGTGCGGACCTGAAATCTAGTCCAGTCCTCAAAGTCGGATTTGAAATATTACATGTACATAAATTATTGTTATCGTACAGGTTTTACACCCGCCATTCACAAGCTGCTCCATAACATATCTGGATCAACAAATCTTCTCTATCAATATAACTGCCCGTCACCGTGTGCATAGAAATAAGTAATGATTAAGGTTACAGAACACCTTTGAGTGTTAATTTTGCCTAAAATTTTTTTATTGGTTTCAATGAAAGCATTAGACTAGTTCAGTACTATCTGACCAAGTTTGGACGAAAAATGTTGAAAACTCGCAGAGTTATTTAATAAAATACATTTCGCTTGCAATAAGAAAAACATTGAAAATGTAATATTCAAATTCGAAGAATTTTACGGCAATTACTGATTTTTAAACGAGTTGTGCTCCTGCGGGTTTTAACGAATTTTTCTCAAATTTTCACCGGACATAGCTAAAGACGTCAGTTTCAAAATTGTGTTCGGCTTTGTTCTAATTTTGGATATTTTAATAATAAGGAGCAATTCACACAAACGATCCAGAAATATATTGCAGTCGTCAAAGAAATCGCCATATCAACGGAATGACGAAATAAACAAAAATTTCCGAACACAATTTTTTGGAACAACTATTTTACTGTATAAAAATGATATTTTCATAAACATATCTTAAAACCAGCAGGAACATAACTCAAAAGCGTAAAGGTACCGCGACTTAAGATTTTCCTGAATAATTCTTACATTATTTTATTGTTTGTCAATTTTACAACTTTATCATATTTTGCATGCACTGGCTAACATTTGGCGAAAATTTGATGAAAATCGGACTGATTTTGAGCGCGCAGTAGCGATTTTCCACAAAACGCCAAAAAGGGTGTCCTGTAACCTTAAGTAATGAATATTATCAATATCTACAGGTAGCAAGTTTGACAAATATGGTAACCTCAATAATTGGTGGAGGAATGGATCTCTGGATCGCTTCCAACAGCGAGTCAATTGCATGGTGGAACAGTACGGAAACTTTACTTCACAAGGAAAGAAGGTATATAGTCGAGATTTTCTCGACTGTCATTAGTTCAAAAATGAAAATTCAAACATAATCTGTATAATCATGACTACTTTTCCAAATTTGAATCTACTTTTGATGTAACTAGATTGATGGGACAAAAACCTTGGCGGAGAATATTGCGGATAATGGCGGACTAAAACTAGCCTTCCAGGTGCAGATAGTCTTGTAATTTTACCCCCACAAAACCTATTCCGTGTCATTTATGGCACTACATAGTTTCAAACGTCGCATTTTGCATGCATCGAATACAATTCGTATTAGATTCGAGCAAACTACATGCAAGATTCAACGCCCATTTCAAACGTCCAATTTTGCATGTATTGAATTCAATTCGGAGACATGTGAAAATCTCGTTTACAAAATATTAAGGTTAATTAAATAGGCAACATTTTACCAAGAATATACCCAAGATCGTTCAGAGGAAAATATGCATGAAAGCATATGTTATGTACTATTTAAAGCACGCGTAGGAGTGTTTTATGACATATAAAACACGAAGCGTAGCGGATTTTGCCATTTTGCTCGCATTATGCGACTGCACCGGTCGAATTTAAAGTTACGGTCGACCGTAATTAGAAACGTCGAAATTAATCGTTTCAGACGTTCATTGAATTCGACACATTTAAAGCCAAGCCTAATACAATTATCAGTATATAAATATCAATGTTTTAATAGGAAAATGAATTCATTTAAGTTATCATGAGAATGTTATTTTATTCAACAGGCATACAAGGACTGGTTAAAACGTCATCAGGTTGAACAAAAACTGCCATCGTTTGATCTAACCCCAAAACAACTGTTCTTTGTTGCATTTGCTCAGGTATGTAGTGCTAATGTCAGAATGGTTCGCATGTCGAAACGAACTTAAAAGCCACAGAAGCAGTATATATAGCCCTAGCACCAGCTATGACACGACCGGGAAAAGTACTGTAAAATATTAATTTAACCAAAACAATAATTTATTCCACTATCTTTAGTTCAGGGCACTTGCATGCAAAGGGATTGTTACCGAATCTACGTGCGTAAAAATTTTACAGCTTGTCCGGCAGCAAGTTTTGTTCCCAAGTTTTGTTCCCCAGTTGTTGACAAGTCTGGAACAAGTTGTTATCATCTTTCAACAAGGTTCACGAGACCAACAGACTCGCAACAAGTCGTTCCAACAAGTCTGATATCGTCTGCACATAACACATTGTAATTGTTAGCCTCTATTATAGTCTTGTTGGAACAACTTGTAGCAAGTCTGTTATCCGCATCAACTGTGTAACAAAGTGATAAGGTGATAACAACTTGTTCCAGACTTGTAGTACAACAACTGGGAACAAGCAGTGCGAACACATCTTGATATCGGCTTGACAACAAACTTTGTTACAACTTGAGCGTTTTTACGTGTGTACACACGTTAAAAGCTCACAGCTTCTCAACAAGATGTGTTTGCAATAGGCTTGTAACGAACCTGTCAACAGGTTGTAACAATGTTGATATTTTATCAAGTTACTGCAAGGTCGTCACTCCCAACTTGTTGACAAATTGTTGAATTGCAAGACGATAACAATTAAGTTGTTGGAACAACTTGTAACAAGTCTGTTGAGCTCAACAACCTTGTAGCAAGTTATCAACAAGCTGGAAACAAGCAGTGCGAACACATCCTGATGACAAGTTGTTGGAACAGCATTGCTACAGCTCTGCTGCAGTTTTGTTACAACTTGTGCGCTTTTAAGCCTGGTTCACATTGATCGGCGATGTTCTACGATCCATTGTCTGTGAGCAACGAAGAAGAAAATGCACAAAACATTTTATGCATCAATGACCACCGACAATGGGCATCGCCGATGTTTACGATCAATAGAGAGGTTAAGATACCCGGTTCCGGTTTACGGGTACGGGAGATATACACGTACCCGTAAATCGGGGAACGACTTGTAACTTAAGAAATCCAAGATATTCCGCCGTGAGAAAACCAATGAGAGAATGGTAACTTTCGCTGTTGAGGTTCGCCATAGATTGTTGAAAACTTTGACGAGCATATGTGCATTAGTAATTTGAGTAAGATGTTGAAGTTTTTTACTATTTAAACGGCCCACAAATAGTAAACAGAAAACACCCGTACCCGTTTGTCTTTTACGTGTAGACCATGGTTTACCGCGAGGAAACGGGTAGAAATTACGGGTAAAGATGCTGACATCAGCAAAAATTGGTAAACAAAATGGCGATACTCGTACCCGTAAACCGGAATCGGGGTATCTTAACCTCTCTAATGTGAACCAGGCTTTACATGTGTATTTTGTTGCCGTCATCTTGTTCTCGCAAATTCGCGCACCTATTACCTATATATGACTATTTCCGCAACATCACTCCCCCCTTTTGTTATGCAATCGGTGTCTTATTCATTTGCATACATTGTTAACTGCATAGGTATGGTGCTCTTCAAGCACAGAAACTAAAGCAAACGAATCGTTATTAACTGATGATCACAGTCCTGAAAGAATAAGGTATATATAAACCAAAAATATATCTCACCAGCAGTAAAGCTCCGGTCACTCACTACGAATAACCCGCCTTAATTGATGCTATATTTGTTGTGAAAAACTTGGCTTGCTTTCGTCGAAGCAAACTTATTGCTGTTTAAAAATTGTTCAACAAATTGATGACTTTGACAGCTAGGCGGCTTTTCCCTTGCAAGTCCTCGTATACTTGTTCGAACGCCCGGCCGAGAAGAGCCGTTCCCAGTTCAAGCGTGATAGACATACTACGGCCATGCAAAAACACAAAAGAAGCGTTGGATTTCTCTTAAACTACACTATAACACACGTTTACTCGACAGTAACAAAGTAAATGCAACCTCTCACACAAGGGAAAGAGTATTTCGATCTTACCTTTGAGTTTTAGCCCATGCACGAGCAAAAGAAGTCTGCGGTTTAGTTGTTTACTGCCATATCGCAGCTGCACTTTATAAATCCCTTTGGGGCTTTGCCATGCCTTTCGAATGCTAGCTATCTGTAGTCTTTGCTTTGCTGTCATTCAACAGTCGATGTAACTCGTTTCAACATTTTCCCCATCTTTCAAATAGCCAAGTTTCTGATAAGATCAAGTTTAGTAATCGAACACTGAGTAACAAAATCGGGGTATACTTTGTCTTCTTGAAACCAACTCATCGCTTGGCTAAGCAAAACCACTTTCTGTATGTGAAGTATTTACAGTAAAATTTACATCATGCATTGTTTACGCATAAATTATTTATACAGGGTGTCCCAAAAGTCCCCCTATAGAAATCACTCTAATTGTTCGTTATATACCTTTGGGAATTTATAAATTTAATTGTACATGAACAGCGGAAGTATTTACAACTTCCATTCGTTCAAATAATTTAACCTTTCGGTTTTAATACACTTTGCGTTAACGTATAAGTTGTTACGACAAATACTCGTTGCTCTGTAGTCAGTTGAACCAAATATTCTTTAATTTTATATATCTTTTATGTATTTCGTTCGGTTCAAAAATTCTCTTGAATTTCAGTCAACGAAATACAGCAAAAACTGCTTTTAATGACTGCATGCATATATCTCTGATGGACATAAAGGAATATTTAAATCATTTGTGCTTCACACGCAAAAATCTCATATCTTGTACCAAGTCTGCCAAAAAGCCGTCAACAAGTTGTGTTCGCACTGCTTGTCCCAAGACAAATTGTCAACAAGTATGGAACAACTTGTTTACAGTTGTAACAACTTTGTTGATAATATCAGACATTTTGCAAGGTTGTTCCAAGAAGTTCAATACAATCATGATAGTGTAACAGTATTGTTACAACCATGTTTCGTCAACCTTGTAACGTTCTTGTTATATCATGACTGTATCAGACTTGCCAGAACAACCTTGTAACAAGATGATGCCATCAAGCTTGTTACAACAACTGGGAACAAGCAGTGCGAACACAACTTGTCGACAGCTTGTGAACAGATTCGCAACAACTTGTTTGTAGACCGTGACAACTTGTGTTTAAATTTTGAGGTTAAAGTTTCACTCAGTAGGTCAGCAAGCCTAGAAGTGTCAAAGTTGATACAAAATTATTCTTTGCAAGACCTCTTTTAATTAAATTAATAATTACATTTTAGAAATTATACTTTTTTCCCTCAAATTTCTAGAGTGTTGGCTGCCGTTCACAATTCACAAGATTTCGCTGATGCTTTCAATTGTCCTCTTAACAGCCCAATGAATCCTTCCAAGAAGTGTGAGATTTGGTGATCATGCATCATACAGCGCGGTTCAAATTTTGCTATTTAATTAATGAAGTGGTTAATATTTTCTTAGTTGTTTATATACGATGTTAAATTTACTCGTTTGGAACTAAAAGGTGACAGTCTCTTTACAACTTTACAAACAGGTACCATTCAGTTTACACACATGTCCTTTATCACTTCTCAGTGTGACATGAGTTTGATAACTGCTTGTGCAATTTTCTGCATGCAGTGTAAAGTTTCATGTCGTCTGTACATGTAGGAGACACAATTTGCCCCGACAAATCGGGAAAGGATCGAGATAGTGACTCTGATTGATTTACATAATATATTGTATTTATTTACACATTATATGACTGTTGCCATTGCTTTTTAGTCTTCAATATTTGAGTGAGTCATGCTTTGGAAATGACAATAAATTTTTATTACCCAACCCTTGAATTGTTTTGTTTTTTATTTTCCCAACCTTTTACTCACTCAAAATTTTGAGTTTACCCAACCCTTTTCTCTTCGGTGCCACTCCGGTCTCTAATATAAGAAGAATAATCGTAGTTCAAGTTAGAAATTTAAAACTTTATTCACAATGCATTGAAAATTTAAAATAAGACTACAAACGAATCGCGACACGGTATCTAGGCGACAAGAAGCTACTTGAAACAAGTCTAATATCCAAGGTCGCCGCTACAGGGGCGGTGTAGGGGGGTGGGGGTGGGGGGTTGAAACACCTCCCCCCCCCACACACACACACACACACACACATTGTCATGAACAATTCGTCAAATTGTTGTATTCATTCGGCAAAAATTGAGCTGTTTGGATATGGACCGAATTATCGAATTGAAATATCTGAATTAAATAATAATAATAATATGGTCGCAATTTTAACGTTTATGCATGCGCATGTTAGTTTAAATTCAAATTGTAATCCTACCTGAAGATGGAGTAAATCTCCGAAACGTCGTTTGTTAATGAAATAAACATTTAAAAAAGTCTTACTGTGGTCTATATATTGAACACAAAATATAATAATAATATGACTTTATTTAAGCACGATAATTTTTAAAGCATAAGCTTGTGGGGTCGTGCAAATTAAAACCAAACCTGAATTTAAGGTTACAGGACACCCTTTTGGCGTTTTGCGGAAAATCGCTACTGCGCGCTCAATATCAGTCCGATTTTCATCAAATTTTCACCAAATGTTCTCCAGTGCATGCAAAATATGGTAAAGTTGTAAAATTAACAAACAATAAAATAATGTAAGAATTATTCAGGAAAATCTTAAGTCGCGGTACCGTTACGCTTTTGAGTTATGTTCCTGCTGGTTTTAAGTTATATTTATGAAAATATCATTTTTATACAGTAAAATAGTTGTTCTAAAAAATTGTGTTCAGAAATTTTTGTTTATTTCGTCATTCCGCTGATATGGCGATTTCTTTGACGACTGCAATATATTTCTGAATTGTTTGAGTGAATTTCTCTTTATTTTTAAAATATCCAAAATTAAAAAAAAGCCGAACACAATTTTGAAACTGACGTATTTAGCTATGTCCTGTGAAAATTTGAGAAAAATTGGTTAAAACCCGCAGGAGCACAACTCATTTGAAAATCAGTAATTATCGTAAAATTTTTCGGGAGAAAATTGAATTTGAATATTACATTTTCAATGTTTTTCTTATTGCAGCGAAATGTATTTTATTAAATAACTCCGCGAGTTTTCAACATTTTTCGTTCAAACTTGGTCAGATAGTAGAACTAGTCTAATGCTTTCATTGAAACCAATAAAAAAATTTTAGGCAAAATTAACGCTCAAAGGTGTTCTGTAACCTTAAAACAATACCTAACTCCCCCACCCCATCCCATTGAAAGAGCCCCTGCTAATGTCAAGGTTTATAATTAATACTATTACATAGACGTGATAAACAAATGTGACTGCTAAAAATACGCATTAAATATCCGGCGTATAAGTCTAAACAAATTAGTGTATTATGAGAATTTAGTCGGCCAACAAAATGACCATTTAGTGTTCATATTTTACCGTCGAAACTTTCATTGGCATGTCCAGCAAAGAAATTGTACCCTTCGCGAGCTTGTAGGGAACGAGGTGGTAAATACGATGGATATTCTTGGAGATAACCTCTATCGCTCTTGTATTGCCTTTCCACATCAACATAAGGGCTTTCTTCGGTGTAAGGCTCTCTCTTGTAGTAAGGTAAAGCTTTGGTATAAGGTTCATCGCGGTAGTACGGGGGTTCTTGGTTGTATGGTCCATCGTGAATATATCTGGCTTGTTTGAGGTAAGGGTCATTATCAAAGGTGCGCCTTTCTTCGACTCTGGTCATCATCATTGTATTTGGGTATCCATAAGGTATAACGTAAGGTGGATATGCCATTCCGCGTTGGTGACGATGTCCCTGCAGCAAAATATTTGCATTTTTTAATACTTTCTGGAGAATATCAAGATAGGAGTAATCTGTCTGAAGTAATGATCAACACCATCACAAGCAATAATTATCATCGTCAGTCATGGGCGTACCGGAAGGAAAAAATTAGGGGGGCGGAAAGAAAATTGCCCGACTTTTCGGGATTCTGCCCGACTAGTACCAAAAAAATTTTTCCGGAAAAATTATTTTGGCGAACTCCCCCCCCCCCGTCGCCAAAAAAATTTCGGTCAGTGTACCATTTTAGGGGTCAAAAAAATTTTCCGGACAACCAATTTTTTTCGGAACATAACACAAATTTTCGAAAAATCGCAAAATTTGCAAAAAAATTGACTTAATTTTAGACAAAATTGACAGAATTTGTCCCATTTTTTTTATTGCAAGCCAAAATTGCCCGACTGTTGATCGAATATTGCCCGACTGCCCAAAAAAACGGGGGGGGGGGGGCTACCGCCCCCCCCCGCCCGGTACGCCTATGTCGTCAGTCTCATTAATAATACTTTTCACCATCAACTGCATTATATCATAATAATCAATGTAATAAACTTAAGTGGTTTAAATTAATAAAATGATAATCGTAACCATCCTCTGGTCACCATCATAATCACCCAGGGGTGGATCCAGCAAGGTTTTTCTAGGGGGGTGCTGGGTGAGCTTCTTTATAATTCTTTAGCGGGTGGTGGGAGAGCATTCAAATGAATTGGCTTCCGAACAAATCGAGCGCCGAAAGCGCGAGCTCCCTAGCCAAGCGAACAGGGCCAACAGGCCAAGAGCCAAGGCCAACAGGGGTGCGCACCCCTGTGCACCCTTCTATAAATCCACCTCTGTAATCACCATCATCCTTGTCATCATAATCATTACCACCATCACTACCACAATCACCATCATCATATCAGCAGCGTTATGATCATTATCATCATCAACAACATCATCATCATATGATCATCAATACATCACCATAATCATTATCACCATTATTAGCATCATTATCATCACCATCATCATGTGATATCACCATCATCATCATCATCATATCGCTGCCATAATTATATCATCAGCCTCACCATCATATCACCATGATCGTCATCAACATCATCATGATCACCATCATCCTCACCACCACCAACATGAAGAAAACTCTTTTCTATAGCTATATTTATTTATTTAAATCAATTTATTGGACCATGTCCAAGCGGTAGAGTGCGAACGGCACTCAAAGTCCCATGCGAGGCACTCCCCAGTTACAAACTGTAAAGATTTCTTAAAGATTTACATTAATAATATACCAGAAGGGTAGGCCTTAAACCTAAACAGCCTTGCTTATTTATTATTCAATACATAACAATACATTTATTCAATCAACATACCCGATTTCCACAGCAAGCCCCGGCGCAACCCAGTATAGATCCCACGAAAGACAGTATCAATAAAAGAACATAGAGAATAGTTGCTGCAGCACTGGCATTCCGAACGCTTTCTAAATCCGAGCAACTTGCGCCGTCTAAAAATGATAAATGATAATACAACACACGAATTTGCACGAGCGTTTGAGCCAGGAGATGTAATATTTTAAATCCGACTATAAAGACTGGACTAGATTTCAAGTCCGCACAATTTGATCAAGTGCGCCTATTTGATCATTTGATCATGCCGATTTGATCCAGTTCGAATTGGAGGATTTGAAATGACATCTCATACGAATAAATCAATACTTAAAGTGGAAGTCAAGTCCGTAATGTAAACAAACGGTTTGTTTACATTTTGAACTGCTGTATTTTTTTAAAATATGATGTACTGTCTGAATATCTAACACCATTTTGGTTCGCTATGCTTCTAAACGAATATGAAATAGAGTTTATGTTCAGAAAAATTC